GTGTATTAGTATCTACCGATTCCTGAGAGAGGAGGTGTGGCATCCTTTGCTCTTAGTGGGAACAAAGTACACTATTACCTCTGGAATCAGCATGTATCTTAATATATTTTGTCATGTCCTATGGTCATGTATTCAGTGTATGAGTGAGATGATATATACATTATTTTTTTTAATTCCTGTAAAACAATTGATAAAGAATGGCCTATTTTATTTTTAAGACATCATCATCTGGTGCTTCCCTTTGAGCTGTAGAATGAAATAGAGGAAAAGTTATTCCAAAGATGATGGCTGTTTTTGACCAATTTCTTTTGTTTCTTGTGGTCCATTTCATTGGGCCAAATATTTAGGGAGAAGGAAGACACTAATTCAAATTTTAGGAAACAAAGAGGTTGAGTTTAATTTGTTTTTTTTCTGAGGAGGAGGGTCTTCATCCTGAAGGACTTCCCCACATATAACTTTATAGTGTTTTTCTCCTTTATTCCCCTGCCCTCCCCCCCAAATCTTGGGTGTCTCTAGAGACTAATAAACTATCCTCAAAACTGAATAACACCCAGAGAGTCTCATGGCACCTGAAGAGCTACGGGCAGATGGGTGTGGGGACTGGCCATCAATTTAGATCTAGACCAGGTCAATAGCATCTGAAGGCTGTTGTCTCCTAACAGCTGTTCAGTGGCCTCTGTGAAATGAAGTGATGGCTTCCATCCAGGTTCTGGACAGCTGTCTTCCTCACAAAAATCATTGCCACAATTGGCATTCATCGGCTCTCCTGCTGGCAGCCTCTGCAGGCAATTCAGTGAATCTCTTTTCTCTCTTCTTCTTCACCCTCCTCATCTTCCTTCTTCTCTTCAGTTCTGCTCTCCTTCTCCTGTCTTTCCTTTTTCTTTCCTCCTCCGTGTTACCAGTAGGTGGCCTGAGGAAAGAAAGAGCAGCAGCAGCTCCTGAGAGAAGAATGTGTTAACGCCTCTCTGCCAGGGCTTGCCAAGGGACCTGGGACCAAGGCTGTTGGGACGGAAGGCTCATACCTCCCACAGCGTCGCCTTCACCTTCACTGCCCCAGCCCCAAGTTGCTTTGCTCAGGGTGTGTCAGAGTTTACTCTGGGATTGTCTATTTTATCTATCAAGTTTCTCCTTTCATCGCACTGCAGGGAACATGGGCTGTGTTTATAGAATGGATGGGCCCAAGGGGAATTTCGAGTGATTCAGTAGTTGTGGTATTAGCCTTACATTATAATTCCCTCTCTGGCACAACCAGGAGTTACTAGGGACAGAAAGTTGTACTGTTTGAGATTCCCTTTTCTGATAATAGCTGCATGTTTTGAGGGGATTATGTATGATGGTCGTCTTCCAAAACCCCAAATCAACACACTTATCTCTTGACCAGACATTATTTTGGGTATAAAATCTATTTGACAAGCTTTTAATACAGTAAAAATGAAACTCCCTTTTTTAATTATATTGAACAAATCACTTAAATTAGAAGGAATAAAATTCTACAAAGCTAAGACTCTTGAAAATCTGTGGCATGGATTATCAACTTCAATTTTTTTATTGTTGTTCTATTACAGTTGTCCCAATTTTCCCATTGCTCACTATCAATTTCAATTTTTTTAATGCTCTTTGTCTCCTTCAGATAGTGATAAGGAAATAGTAGTGGTACCTTCCATCCTCGAAATGCCCAAGACTGCTTTCAGGTATCCAACTTCATTTTCTCAGTCACAGTTTAAGAGTCCAAAAGTGGACCAAAGGAAGACTTATCACTAATATCCGTGTTATTTTTCCAAACAGAAGGAGGCAATGGTAGGACACGATGCTCTCACACTATGGAAAGGGAAAGAAAATTAAACTATTTTGCACTGGTTCAGCCCTTATTTAGAAGCCCAAAGTATTCTGCCCTAGGCTGCCTCTCTCTGGAATTTAAAACCTGTGTGCAGTGTTGTTGGGGAAATTCAGGCAACATACCACTTTAACTCATTGAAATGCTGATCATTAAGAATACTTAACATGACCAACAAGATATCCAAGACTTTCAAGTGATCATATGAAATCTAAATGAGGAGCTTGAATTGGGGCAATATTAAACAGATGTGAAATCCCAGATATCCTTTGCAATTTAGAAAGTAAAATTGCTTAGCACAACCACTTTGGCAAAGGGTTTTGAGTCTCAGAGTCATGACCAGGACCCACAAAACAGTCATGTAGGGAAAAAGTGAGGTTTAGAGTTGGAAAAAATACCCTAACACCAGCTCTAACTCCACAGTACTAATGATCCATTTTCTCTCATTTATATAATGGGACAAATCATTCTCTGTCACCTTATGGGTTATTTTTGTTGCTTAATAAGTATAAAGTTACTTGGAGATCAAAGTGCTAAATAGTATTAGTAATTAAAACAAGCAACTGTGAACCAAATGTAAAAAGAGAAATAAATAGCTTTGGAGAAATGTAATTTCTAAAATGGACAGATTGTTTAACAGGTAAAAGAATGAAACACTTTTGTGATTCACTTATTTATTAGTTTAGAAAAGGTGATAGAAAAAAATCTGAGAAATGACACAATCAGGTTGGCTATGTGACTATTTGTTCTATTACAAAAATCTTCGAGACACTTCTGACTACAAAACAATGTAAAAAGGAAATAAAAAAGAAAAAAAATGCCATTCTGATTTATAACCATTTGCAGTCTGAATGTGCTTTGAACTTTGTATTTAAAAAGAAAGCATTTTTCTGATTTTCTACCGATTCCTTTTTTTAGCTTACCATTTCCAAAAATACCTCTCTCCTTGAAAATGAAAACAAGTGAGGAAGAATTGGTTTATAGATGCCGAACTCTCTACCTCAAGGAAGCCCTCTTTAATGCAGACAGGGCAAAATGAGTGTGTGAGAAGGGGTGAGATTTTTAAGGCTTGGGCAGTAGTGAAAGTATCATTTCCTGAGTCCGCACCTTTTTCTGTCATTGTTGGCTGGGACTTTGTCTAGCACTGTAGCTTTCCCATCTACACTAGTTAACATACCATCTTGTCACCTCCCTCTCTTCATTCTACATTTTCTTACATCACGACATCAGAAGATTAGAGGATGAATTGAGTATATGTGTATTATGCATATGAACAATATTCTTTTGCTAACATTGTATGCTTGTCATAGGAAAATATTTTTGTATGTGCTTTATATTTATTTTTCTAAGCCCAGGAAGTCTTCTCTAAACATTTACTCCATGGGCTACAAATCCAAAACTCATTATGGACTAAAGAGACGATAACAATAAAAGAATCAAGCTTTTCAGGGTGAGGGTTGTGTCACTGGGGAGGGCCACACCCAAGTACATGAGGGTATATACAATTCTGGGGCACCCCAATCACATCATATTGTATGTGAATGGTGCCCCCTAGTGTGGAGCAATGCATACCCTGCCCATTTGTCCATTCAGTCCATCCTCCTTGAACTTGCTATGTGCCAGGCATGGTTTTAATTGCTGGGAGAGCAATGGACAAAGCAGACAAGAATACCTGGTCTTGTGGAACCCAAAGACATTCTTATTCAATTATTTTTTAAAAAGCAAAAAAGCACCGTGTCATCCAAATAAAATACATCTGCATGCAGAATTTGCCCCATGGGCCCACCAGTTAATGACCCTGCTCTAGTGTTTTAAATTATTTCTGTGATCTTGCAGGTTCCAGCCACAGGGACAAAGCACAGAAATGTCCTGACCAGAGGTTAGCACCCACTGTTTAGTGCATGCTTAATGACAGCTCTATATACACAGCCAAGTCAGCTAATTAATTTTCAATTAAAATTCTCTATCCCCACTGCAGTGTCTATACTTGTCACTCCTTCTTCCAAGAAAACATAATTCCTAGAGGTTATCTGTTTGGTAAGTGAGGAAGGAAAACTAGACAGAGATGGGGGTCATGGCATTCTGCCAAAGCATTGTCTGCTGTAAATACCTGTCGGTCCTGGAGACTGATGGGAGAGGTGGGTGGCAGAGCAGTGGTCAGTGTGGTTCCCTAGCCTATTCACAATCTGCTCCTTACTGCCTACAAATTTAATATTTTTCCAAACAAAAAGGAAGATTCACTAATGTGTCAGGTCTCTTAGGAGTTGTGCTCACAGAAGCAGGAGAAGCACAGAATGCAAAGAGCTCTCTCTTATAAAGAATTATTTCTCTGCCTTATGGCATCTTAATGCCCTTTGATGGAAAGGTTTAATTTAATATGCATATAGGCAAAGTGGAACTAAATGGGGGGTCTGATCACCTAACTTGCTTTCCTGTCTGGAAGATTTTCCTTTTTCCTTCCTTTCTTTTTCCCCCCATTGGAAACTTAGGTAAAACTGAAAAGAATGCTTATAGTAGTTTTCAGTAAGAAGCTTTAGAGAAATGTGGCAATGGTACTCAAAGAGGTGAAAAGTTTTCCACCTCACTTTAAATTTTGTGAAACAAAATCCCGATTCAAAAATATTTAAGGAACCTAACTCAGAAATCTGACGAGAGACAATCATAATATACAGGTATAAAAATAAAATTTAAACATTCACATCTTCCAAGAAATAGAGCCAAGATGATCTATTCTTCCTTTACCTGTCTCCCAGGGTCCCTTGTTTCTAGCCCCTCTCATAAGTGAAGAATAATAACAATAATAACAACCAGAAGAGAGAGTGTTAACTTATCAAATTTAGAGGAGTAAATTACTTTTCCCAAAGTTTGAAAGCATTTCCTGAAAACCGTCAGAGGTATTAATTTTTCCCACTCTCTCTTTAAATCACAAAGCAAAATTCCACTGTCCCTCCCCGCCTCGCCCCCCCCACACTTCTAAAAAAAAAAAAAAAGTTGTCGAGTTTTGCTTTTCTATTCACTGCAGTCCTGGCCAAAGTAAAGCCCTCTTTCTCAATGACGTCAAGATCTTTACCAAGATTAGGCTTTCATTTCTCTATTGCAGCAATTAGCCAGGGGATGTATAAAAGGCTTCAGGGAGACTCACTGGGCTGCAGAGAGAGCACTTTGCACCACAGATAGCACCGGAGCAAAGCCAGAGGGAGTGAGGAGAGGAGAGGAGTCAGTCGCTCCAGGGAAAAAGAGTGAGGCAGGCTGGAGAGAAGGAGAACAGAAAGTGTGTGTAAAACGGAGTAAGGGGGGGGGGAACTACCCTTAAGCACATTTTAAAAACTGGCAATTCAAGAAAGAAACAGCCTACGTATCTGAACATAGAGACAATGAAAAGCTAAAGAAAATTTTGCAGTCTCTGCCACAGTCTCATAGGTGCTTGGAAATGAAAGTGGAACTGGCTGTCTTTAACCGACTCTGAGAGGGGTTACTGGATTAGGGACGGGTACGCCAGTTTTTTTTTTTTTTTTAAACATCTTAAATCCTGAAAAAAAAAAAGCAGCAGCTCCGAATTGAATGAATTGATGGGCACACTCCAACTGCTGGGCTGGACAAACTGGACTTGGTCTTGCCATTTCTGCTTCTTTGAAAGAGGAGAGAGCCTGGGCTTCCTTTTAATTTGGTGTTTTTTCCTTCTCCCCCACCCCCAACCTTCCCCTTTACCTCTCCCACCCCCTCTATTACCACCCCCTTTTAAATAAGAGGGTGAAGGGGAACCACAGTGCACACGGGAACTGACTCAGGAGGCAGAGAAGATGGGCATCCTCAGCGTAGACTTGCTGATCACACTGCAGATTCTGCCAGTTTTTTTCTCCAACTGCCTCTTCCTGGCGCTCTATGACTCGGTCATTCTCCTCAAGCACGTGGTGCTGCTCTTGAGCCGCTCCAAGTCCACTCGCGGGGAGTGGAGGCGCATGCTGACCTCAGAGGGAATGCGCTGCATCTGGAAGAGCTTCCTCCTTGATGCCTACAAACAGGTGAGCTCACCCAGAGGGGCCTCTTAGGTCAGCCTGGGCAGGGGCTGCAGTGTTGGGGACTGGAGGCCCCGGGAGCACTAGGGTGAGATGGTGGAGCCCTATTTGGGGGCCCAGTTGTTCCAGTGAGCTCCTGCCTTGACTTCTTACACCTGTCACACAAGTTAAATTTGGGGGTAACAGGTAGTAAGCCATACTGACTCTGTGTGACCTAATAAGGAGTCTTTCTAATAAGGGGCATTTAATGGCTTGCTGTGACTTCGAAGCAGAGGATGTTTGTGCTGGCAGGGTGACTTCGGGAAAAGTCTGAAAATGTTGGGGGAAGGGGGACTGCTGAATTTCATCTGCTCTTGTTATCAACTGGGATGTTGAGGGTTTTTGCTTGACGAGAGGCTACGTGAGCTGTGTCCGGAAAGACAGTTCAATGACTGGGCATTGCCAAGCAAGGGGAAGAAAAGAAAATACCACTCAAACTGTTAGGGAGATGATGGCACTTCACAAAATGGTGACACCATAGGTGTGATTTGGCATAATATCGGCTTCATTTCTGGTAGAGGCAAGAGTTAACATAAGCAAGCCTGTGTGTACGGTGTCATCCTCTCCACTGATTCCGACTGGAAGGAACCTTTCGGATGGGGTTATCAGGCCCTGCATCCTGAGTTACTAGGTATCAGTTTGCAAAAAGAAGATCTGAGCACCGGCTGTCAGAAATCCAGACTTTGTAAGGGAAACCACATTTGCTTTGCTTCTCAAAAGTAAAGTAAGTTGTCTTAGAAAGAGCAGATAGGTCTACGGTTCGTTAAATTTCAAAGTTGCTTTAGCGCCCGCCTTCTGCATGGATCAGGGGCCTCACTCACCTGCAGAAGTTATATCCCAGGGGCTGTTCTCTCAAAGCCAGGAGCCTGGGGTCTTTGTTTCCAAGCGAAAAATGCCAGCATTTTTGCCTTTTCGCTGCTTGGAGCATGCTCAACTCAGATCTTAAGGAGCAAAGTGTAACATTGTGTCATTGGTCCTTAGTCAATTTGTCCCTATGCCCCTCTAACTCCTGAAGGTCCCTGGGGAAGAAGAATTGACTCCTTTGGCAAAAGTTGTAGTCAAAGCAGACAATCTTGGTTTTCCCTGTCAGTATTGGGGGGCCTTGTCCAAGATGCCAGGGAAAGCAGCTTTAGAAGAATATAAAAACTGATGAAGTAGTACCCGTAGGCAGGCAGTGCTGTAGAAGCAGATGAAACTCAGAATAAAAGAGGGGGAAGGGAACGGGTTCTCCAGAACTAAACACTAGAAAACTAAAACTATGCACCAGAAAGGGAAAGTAAGCCACCTCTAGTCACAAAGAATCCAAAGTAGGTTTGTTCCATTAAAAATCAAACAACTGTTCAGAAGAAAAGATCCATTGTAAATTAGCGAAGTTTTACTATAATCCATGTGTTTTGTATTGAGAGGAACCTGCAGTTTTGCATTTTTTCTAACGACTAGAGAATATTTAGAGCTCTCGTCTGTACGTGAAAATTCTTTTACAATAATATAAAATGATGCTTAAAGTTCTAACAGTAAAAGTCATTTATATTAGTTATGTGGGGCCAGTGAGAGATGTGGTAAGAAGATTGAGGTGATCATTTTGTTTCCACAAGTGTATACACTGAATGTGACATTTTTATGTTTTTGTTGTATTTGTAGGTCTTAGGAGATGACATGGCAATATTGCTGGCTTGGTCTCAGAATATTAAACTTTTAGTTTTATGAAAAAGAATTGACTTTCGCCTATAAAAGAAAAGTCACTGCTTGGGAGAATTTTACTTATACACATGCATACTTATATAAACATCTCTCACATGAAATACAGGGGTTACCCACATATATTAAGTGATGTTGTTTCTCCTATTAAGCAGCTTGTTGAAATTAAAAGGGAAAAACAAACACTGTCTCTTTAATAGAATTTATTTATTTTTTTCACTAATGTATAATGTTCCATTGTGTTGCAATATTTTGTTGTTCCTATTCCAGGAAATTAAGGAGAATGAGTGATTTGTTTCCTTTTTCTTATATGGTTTGTATATCCCTCCCCTGTATTGTTTCTGTGTACTGATTTGATTAGTGACCAAGTTCATGACTGGTGTTATTAAGTTTGCTTCTAATGATTTATGTGATAACTTCCACCATGAGAAGAAGCAGCCCAAGAACCCACATGTCCAGAGACAAGACTGGACTGGGTGCGTAACGGATGGAAACATGGCAAACACACCTTGCATTTAATTTAGCTCTCCTTCTGTCTCCAAGTATGGCAAGGGTGGTGGTGGCTGTGATGGCCCGTTAGGGTCACTCAGAATCTATGAAACAGGTTGGATCCCTTTTCTGGTTGTTGTTGTCATCTGTGCCATAGTCTCTGGGCGTAGCCATTTCTAGAGACACATGGGGGAGGTTCCCTTTGAGGTGGCATCACAATAGTTCACAATCCCAACTTGCATTATTGTGAGGCTGCCATGCCAGAAGCAAAGTTTTCCAGCATGAGTGTCTGTATATGTGATAGGATTAGGCGTGCCATTTCCAATTCTCCTTGTTGTTGAATGTCAAACCTTTGGGAAGATGTTAAGAGAAAGTGCAGTAAAGTGTTATCCCTGGGATGGGCTGCTGTAAGAGGCAACACAGAAATTAAAACAGAACAAAGGAAACCAACAAAACCCCCCTTTCTTCACTAACATATTGAATGGGATTTAAAATTAACTTTGTGGGGAAGCTTTTAAAGATAATTTGGGTTTGGCTAGAGGGAGTTCCAAGCACTGTCTTGATTAAAAAAGTAAGTCTACAGAAACTTGTGAGAGATTGAGGTATAGACATTTATTTAAGTGTCCCTAGTTAGTGCCATTGCATCAAGCCCTGCATCCTTCTGCTGGCGCTCAAAGACTAAAAATGCAGCCAATGAGCAAACTGCCTATCTGGGAGCCTACCTCCTACCTAAATGAGGTGTAGGAGTAAACACACAGTACAGACGCTGACAAGCAGTTTAGCTTCCTCACGGTTAAGATGGCAGCGGCATAGAAAACATATTCATTTGAACATATAATTTGGGTTTTGAAAGGGTCTCTTTAACATTCTCCTCCTCCTCTTCGTTCACCTCAAGCCTTTTGACACTAGTTTGTACAATGGAAAATGGCTTTTTAAAAAGAGAAACATTCTCAAAAGAACATGAAGAGGGCCACAGCCAGAGCTTGTCTATCACTTGGGTTAAACAGTGGGAAATGAGAGTTCAGAGCTATGTTTTCAAGGTAGGAATCAAAAAGAGAATGGCTAGAAGGGAATTGAATTCAGAGGAAAGAGTAGGTAGCTCATTCTTCAACTCTGATTTATTTGGCCAATTCGAATGTTAATGGTTAAACCACTGCTTAAAAATTGTTTGGCTACAATTGTAAGGACATTGATGTAGCCTGGTCATTATGTTAAAGAAATTGAAATTTCCTGATAGCGAATAAAGCCATTCCAGGGCTTTGAATAGCAAGAAGGATGTGTAAAAACTTGTCTGCCATATACCTACCCCTGATTTTTATCACTTGCTGTATTCTGTATCATGAGATTAGGTGATATGTTGTCCAGAAGCCTTTCTCAGGCTGTAGAAAAGGGGGGAAAAAGTGTTAGTAGTATATGCTCTCTTTCCAGCTTCTACTTGATGAATGGTCCTTTCTTTGTTCCTCTCACCCTGCATTTCACAGTCCACATGTTAAAGCAGCATTACCCTTTTCCCAACACACTGAAGACTGTCAGTAAAAGGAATCTTGTCATCAAAGAAATCAAATGTATAAATATGCTATGTATTTACACTCATGTTCATATTTATAAATATGGCCATCACAACATTTGACCTTGGCTCAGAGATGCTCTCTGTTGTAAAAATGCAAATCCTTTATTTACCTCTCATGTTGGTGATGTGTTGGCATTTATTACAATAACATAAGAAAGGACACTTGTACTAGTTTAGACGAGAAAGACAAAAGTCAGTGATGACGATATTGCATCTTACTTATGTCCTTTCTGATCGTTCCAAAATAAAGGGACCCTTTGGGAACATCGGAACTTCAAGACCAATTAGTGGAAATGATGCTTCTTGTGTTTGGGCATTAAATATTGGGCAGTGTTCTCTTTAGAGCAGCTAATGCTGGCAGGGAAAGAGGTACCGACCTAATTACTCTTCCGCAAGAGTAAAAAATGCCTTTTGAATGCCTCTTTGGCAAATATGTCTCATTAAGGACAAAAACCAAACACAAACCCTCTAAGAAGGAGAAATTAAGATGATACGTAACTTGTGGCCAGGAGACTTTCTGTGCCACTGTGGGAAATTAAAACAAAGTTTGGGAGTATCAGGGGATAACTTGTTTTTGTTGAGCTTCTTTCCTGCAGCCCAAATGTTATTATTATGGGACCAACTTTATTTGCTTCATCATTTTGGCTCTTTGTCAAGGAATGATTTGCTCCTGGGGAAAGCAAAGAATCTTCCATCATTGAAGACAATGGTGATTCTCCCATTCCTTTTCAGCAGGGTACATAACCAAGCAAACCGAGAAATTCTTCGTTTGCAACTCAAGTTATAACAGGAATTTAATTTTCATGGTGATCAAATAGGAAAATGAGAAATGAGCACAAATGTCCTTTTAAGAGATTTTCTTTGTAGTTTAAAGCAAACTTTAATTTTTTTAATTTCTAAACTTTTTTCTTTATTATTGCTATATTATGTTCTACTAGCAGGTTTTTAGAAAGATGGTGTAATTTTATGATTAGTACATGATGCTTATAAAAGCAGATTATTGGTTTATTCACATTGGGACTCACAAAGCAGGCATGTTCTCCCCCGACCCCCAAATAGTATCATTAATAGCATTGATCTTACCCATGCATTTCTCCTAGTTGGTCATTCTCATGAACATGGTGTCTGTTATGACATTCTAATCTGCCCATAGTAGGGTCCCATAAATGCTCAACTAAATAAAGAAGATGCTCAACAAAATCAAGAACAA